TAACCAACATTAACCTGCAAGAGTTTAAATGCAATGTCAATTGTTATCTCCTGACCTCCTGATTGTTCTTTTCTCTTTCTATTCATTTGTAATGTTTTTGTTCCTAATTCCTCCATACCCTGTAAGCCCTTGCATGTTAGTGTCTGTACTGTCTTGCTTCGAATGATACTCATATAAAAAAAGAAAAGAGTAAGAGGAAAGTTATTGGTATAATAATAAAAAGCAGGACACGGATTAAAAAGGAAAAGGTATGAAGAAAGGGAAAGAATTCGAAAGATAATAATAATAATAATAATAATAATAAGAAGAAGAAGAAGAAGAAGAATTAAAAGTTGAAGAAGAAGTAAAAGAAGAAGGAGAAGAAGAATGGAGAAGAAGAAGAATTCGAAATAGAAGAGGAAGAAGAAGAAGAAGATGAAGAAGAAGTAAAAGAAGAAGGAGAAGAAGAAGTAAAAGAAATAAAAGAAGAAGAAGAAGAAGAAGAAGAAGATGAAGAAGAATTAAAAGAAGAAGAAGAAGAAGTAAAAGAAATAAAAGAAGAAGAAGAAGAAGAACAAGAAGAAGAAGAAGATGAAGAAGGAGTAAAAGAAGAAGGAGAAGAAGAAGTAAAAGAAATAAAAGAAGAAGAAGAAGAAGAAGTAAAAGAAATAAAAGAAGAAGAAGAAGAAGAAGATGAAGAAGAAGAAGTAAAAGAAGAAAGAGAAGAAGAAGATGAAGAAGAATTAAAAGAATTAAAAGAAGAAGAAGAAGAAGGAAAAGAAATAAAAGAAGAAGAAGAAGAAGAAGATGAAGAAGAAGTAAAAGAAGAAGGAGAAGAAGAAGAAAAAGAAATAAAACAAGAAGAAGAAGAATGGAGAAGAAGAAAAAGTTGAAGAAGAAGTAAAAGAAGAAGAAGAAGAATGGAGAAGAAGAAAAAGAAGAATTCGAAAGAGAATAATAATAATAATAATAATAATAAGAAGAAGAAGAAGAAGAAGAAGAAGAAGAAGAAAAGTTGAAGAAGAAGTAAAAGAAGAAGAAGAAGAATGGAGAAGAAGATGAATTCGAAATAGAAGAAGAAGAAGAAGAATGGAGATTAAGAAAAAGAAGAATTCGAAAGAGAATAATAATAATAATAAGAAGAAGAAGAAGGAGAAGAAGAAGAAGAAGATAAAGAAGAAGAAAAAGCAGAAAATTCGAAAGAGGAATAAGAAGAAGTTAAAGAAGAAGAAGAAGAAAAAGAAGAAGGAAAAGAAGAAGAACGAGAAGAAGAACAAGAACAAGAAAAAAAAGAAGAAGAACAAGAAGAAGTAAAAGTTGAAGAAGAAGAATGGAGAAGAAGAAGAATTCCAAATAGAAGAAGAAGAAGAAGAAGAAGAAGATGAAGAAGAAGTAAAAGAAGAAGGAGAAGAGGAAGTAAAAGAAATAAAAGAAGAAGAAGAAGAAGAAGAAGAAGAAGATGAAGAAGAAGTAAAAGAAGAAGGAGAAGAAGTAAAAGAAAAAAAGAAGAAGAAGAAGAAGAAGAGGATGGAGAAGAAGTAAAAGAAGAAGGAGAAGAAGAAGTAAAAGAAATGAAAGAAGAAGAAGAAGAAGAAGAAGATGAAGAAGAAGTAAAAGAAGAAAGAGAAGAAGAAGTAAACGAAATAAAAGAAGAAGAAGAAGAAGAAGTAAAAGTTGAAGAAGAAGTAAAAGAAGAAGAAGAAGAATGGAGAAGAAGAAGAATTCGAAATAGAAGAAGAAGAAGGAGAAGAAGAAGAAGATGAAGAAGAAGTAAAAGAAGAAGAAGAAGAAGAAGAAGAAGAAGAAGATGAAGAAGAAGTAAAAGAAGAAGAAGAATTCAAAATAGAAGAAGAAGAAGAAGAATGGAGATTAAGAAAAAGAAGAAATCGAAAGAGAAAAATAAAAATAATAATAATAAAAATAATAATAAGAAGAAGAAGATGAAGAAGAAGAAAAAGCAGAAAATTCGAAAGAGGAATAAGAAGAAGTTAAAAAAGAAGAAGAAGAAGAAGAAGAAGAAGTAAAAGAAGAAGAAGAATTCGAAATAGAAGAAGAAGAAGAAGATAAAGAAGAAGTAAAAGAAGAAGATGAAGAAGAAGTAAAAGAAGAAGGAGAAGAAGAAGTAAAAGAAACAAAAGAAGAAGAAGAAGAAGAATGGAGAAGAAGAAAAAGAAGAATACTAAAGAGAATAATAATAATAATAATAATAATAATAATAATAATAATAATAAAAGAAGAAGAAGAAAGCGAAAAGAAGAAAAAGAAGAAGAAGAAGAATGGAGAAGAATAAGAATAAGAAGAAGAAGAAGAAGAAGAATGAGAAGAAAAAGTTGAAGAAGAAATTAAAAGAAGAAGAAGAAGAATTGAAAGAGAAAATAATAATAAGAATTGAAAGAAGAAGAAGAAAGAAAGAGAATAATAATGGAGAATAATAATAAAAAAAAAGAAATTCAAAAAGAGAATAATAATAATAATAAAAGAAAGAAGAATAAAAATAATAAGAATTAAAAAAAAGAAGAAA